TCCGTAATTACCGAAGGCCAATTTTCAAAAAACTAAACACAATCAGAGTATAATAACGGGGCTCACAAATGCGGAAGAAATAAATCAAAATACAAGTGGTCCATAAGAGCTGTGCATAGATCAAATGCAATGTCATTCATTTGTACAACTTGAATACAGCCAAGCAAAATACATATTACATCTTGATCAAAAGGCTTCTCGAGCCGACATATACAAAATACAATAAAAATACAAGTCAAGAAGCATGATTTTCAAGATGTGCCGACATAATCATGAGTCCAAAACAAGCTATCAAAACAGTCTAGGCGTCGCTGACGTCCTGCCCATCACCTACATATATATAGAGAGGGGTGAGCACAAATACTCAGTGAATGGTACTAATAATAAAGGTTTGCATGAATAAAGCCGGAGTCCTTTATTTTAAAACAAAACACCTCAAAACTTTATCGAACAGGGGATGAACCGTATTCATCGATCAAGTATCATAACATCAGCGAAGCAAGGGATGAACCGTATTCATCAATCAAGTATCATAACATCGGCGAAGCAAGGGATGAACCGTATTCATCGATCAAGTATCATAACATCGGCGAAGCAAGGGATGAACCGTATTCATCGATCAAGTATCGTAACATCGGCGAAGCAAGGGATGAACCGTATTCATCGATCAAGTATCATAACATCGGCGAAGCAAGGGATGAACCGTATTCATCAATCAAGTATTACAAGTCTCAAGGGTTACTTAGGCCCGTAGCCCGATTTAACAAGGACCGTATCCTTTTATACTTAGTAGTGCGAAAGTTTAGAGTCCTCCAGCACAATGGACTTGTGTTACTTAGGCCCGTAGCCCGATTTAACAAGGACCGTATCCTTTTATACTTAGTACTGCGAAAGTTTAGAGTCTTCCAGCACAATGGACTTTCCAAGGATAACAATCAAAACAAGGCTATTCATTCATGCTTAGCAAATACTTTCATCAAACAAAACAAAGCAAGATTTATCAAAAACAAGTGTAACATAGCTTTATTAGAAATACCACTCACCTAGTTCTTCAGGTGTAGACTCAAAGCAAATATCACGGACCTACAATCACATGGCAATCGCATTCTCAAAACAAGTTTCATGTGCATGCAAGTGATCTCGGCATCCTTGCGAGATCCAAGTCAAAATCAAAGCAAAACATGCTGGGAGCTTAAACACTGCTCTCGTCTCATGAAAACACACTGGGCACCGTCTAGGATTACGCCGAGGTCCCATCAAACAAAGTCGGGAAAAAACCTGGGTTTCCCTTTGGAGAATATGAAGAACATGATCATTTGGAAGATGGATGCAAGTTCACAACTTGTTACAAAAATCTGAGTTTTATGCCAAGAGTTCAAAACATGGACCTGGGTTCTCACGCAAGATGGTCATGCAAGATCAACACAAAACATGATTTCGTTCCAAACTTTCGGATCAAAATGAGACTTTCTTCAAGAACACATGAAAAACCATTTTTCTCTTTTCAAAATCAACTTCGAAACGAAACGAGGCTCTCTTCAAGAACTCATGAAAACCATTTTCTCTTTTCAAAACCAACTTCAAATCGATGCACGACATGCAAAACAGGTCCGATCATGCAATGCAGCTAGGTAATCAATAACAACAATCAAGGTAGGTCAAGATTCTAACCTCAAAACTCGAATCCAACGGATCAAACCACGAAGATCAAGCTTGGAAGACTTGCTCTCACTCAAGAACTTCTCTTCCTCCTCTCTAGAGCTTCTCTCTCTAAAACAAAGATTGAGACAAGAAAATGATTTGTTTCAAGGTCTGTCGGCTGCCTTAACAATCAGCTCGGACACGTGGCGCTACCGGGTTGGTTCAGCTCAAAAAGGTGATTGATTGATAAGACAAGTCTCTGACAAAACGTATGCAGCAAGCTCGGTACAACACATCGGCAATGAATGACATCGGCTCGAATCAAGGACAAGGCAACGGGGTAACAAACATCGGCTAGGGAGGACGACGCTTGACTAAGCTGTGCCACACCTTGGCCGGGGTGTGCCACATCTCGGCCTAGGCCATACCTGCCCAAGGACAAGGTTCACTAAGTGCGAAACATCTCGGCAATAAATGCCCGAGGTGAAGACGGGGGTCGACCAAGGTCTCAAAATAGCTCTAAGTACAAGGGTTCAAAGGCGAACTAAGCTCAAGAGGTCCTCGGCCACACACACACCAAGCAAAGATCAAAATCATGCTAGCAACTTTAAGCAAATCAAGGCAAGACAAAACCTTCAAATTAACATAACAAAGCAAGATCATGCAAGAATGTATGCAAGTATGACAAGAGTAAGGTAAGGGTTGTTACACTCGGTGTCCCACATCGGGAATGGAAGGGGAGTTCCTGGGCTATAAAAGTAAAAACTTGGACCCTTATATAGCATCGAGGCCTTTTCCCAAGTGGTGAAATCCCTATTAGAACTCCCCAGTTAAACGTGCTTAGGCTGAAGTAGTTCTAGGATGGGTGACCCATTGGAAAGAACAAATCCGTGCGGGCGTGGGCCAAAGCGGACAATATCGATGACATGTAAAGGGTCGGGGCGTTACAAATTGTATCAGAGCCGACTCTCCGAAGTACCGAGTGTGGGCCCCTGGCGTCTCGTGGTGCATGTGGGCGGGCTTGCGAGTTGGCAGGCTACTGCACGGGGACGTGCAGCCTTATGGGGGGTGGATTGTAAGGCCTCGGTGTCCCACATCGGGAATGGAGAGGGAGTTCCTGGGCTATAAAAGTAAAAACTTGGACCCTTATATAGCATCGAGGCCTTTTTCCAAGTGGTGAAATCCTTATTAGAACTTCCCAGTTAAGCGTGCTTAGGCTGGAGTAGTTCTAGGATGGGTGACCCACTGGGAAGAACAAATCCGTGCGGACAATATCGATGACATGTAAAGGGTCGGGGCGTTACAAGTTGTTTCTTGAATGAACTTCCATGTTTAATTTTAGGCAATTTCCATTTCTAATTTTATTCAATTTCTATTTTTATTCAATTTCCATCTCTATTCAATTTCCATTTTTATTTAATTTCCAAATAGATCGTTAAGGTTTAGTGGTTTCTTGAATGAAATTCCATTTTTAATTTAATGCAACTTCCATTCGTATTTTTATTCAACTTCCATTTTTATTCAATTTCCTTTTCTATTCAATTTTATTTTTTATTTAATGTCCAAATAGATCGTTAAGGTATAGTGGTTTCTTGAATAAACTTCCATGTTTAATTTTATGCAGTTTCCATTTCTACTTTTATTCAACTTCTATTTTTATTCAATTTCCATCTCCATTCGATTTCCTTTTTTATTTAATTTATAAAACGGATCATTAAGGTGTAGTGGTTTCTTGAATGAACTTCCGTTTTTAATTTTATGCAATTTCCATTTTTATTTTTATTCCACTTCCATTTTTATTCAATTTCCTGGCATGTATATAATATGATAGTGGTAGATTGTGGTAATATATAATATGTAAGTGGCATATAGTGGGTTATAATGATGTTTGTAATATCTCCTATATAAGGAGTGTCATTTGGTCTTGTAAGATAAGAAGTTTTGAATATAACAGAAATATATTCCTTCTTCCTCATATTTTCGGAGTTCTTCTTCCTCATATTTTCTAAGTATATGTAGTTTCTAATTATGTATGTTTCGGTAATTCATCGCTTTGCCTTCAGTTAATGTAATGGTTTTTAGGTGGGTTTCTCCTAATATTTGGTGTTCAATTTGTTTGGGTCTGCATTCATTGAGCCCACGTGTATAGTTGGGCCCATTACGGTAAATGTTAGGCAATTTATTTTGGAATTTGGTGCATGAGTCATGGCTGATTACGCAGCATAACCCACAGACAATTTATTCATGATGAGTTACCGCATGATCTTTGTGACTCCATATGAGGTTATTTTTGAGCCATTCCGCCATGGGTGATTAGGGGGTCACTGCTATAGGTAATTGTGGTTCGTTGACCAGCCAAGTTAGAGACTGGGATGTGAGGTCTATTGGATTTCTCTATTTGCCTCTCTGTCTTCACGTGACCCATCCTGTATTGGCCTTTAAGCCACTCCCGACATGGAGTGAAGGGGACACTGCAATAGGAATTGAGGCTTTGTGATCAGTTGAGGAAGGGACTGGGGATTGTGTGTGCTCTCATGGTGGGATCGGCTTGAATTGTTAATGTTGCTGTAGTGGCTATTGGTTTTCGCTATGCCCCCTAGACCATTGATTATGATAACTGACTCTGTGAGATTCATGTGACTCCATCGGGATCTTTCATGGAGTAGATTTTTTCCTGCGTCATGGCTTTGGTTGAGTGGCTATGGTTGTCACGGCTATGAGGTGTAAGATGCTTATTGGACTCCATGTTTTCATCTGTGGTAGAGACTGGGAGCTTGTGGGGACAGTTATCATATTTTGATTGGTCTTGGTGGTTGTTTTAGCTTGTTTACTTTTGTTTTTTTACATGTGTCAGTTAGGTGCTTAGGTGTTTTATGTGTTGTATGTGGGTTTTTTTTTTTTTTGGTATTATTGCCCATATATCTTCCCTAAGTTCCCATCTATTATTTTGATGGTAGGGTCAACTTGGAGATAAAAAGGATATATGGGCAAATTTGGGTTATATTTGTGGTTTTGTTTTTGTTGGTTTTGCCCATATATCTTCCCTAAGTTCCCGTCTATTATTTTGATGGTAGGGGCAACTTGGTGATAAAAGAGATATATGGGAAAATTTAGGTTATATTTGTGGTCTTGTTTTTGTTGGTTCTCCCTCAATTGCAGGGGTTTGTTATAGCTAGTTGTTTTGTATTAGTCTTTCCCTCTCTTTGGGGGGCGGTGTTAGGTTTGTTATATTACCTGCGGTATGCCCCTTGTAAATGTGTACATTCTTTGCATTTATTTTACGGCTTACCCACCAAAAAAAAAAAAAATGTTATGGTTTTAAAATATTGTATGGAAATTAAAATTGTGCAATATCTCAGGTGGCCACAAAATGAAGAATGGGAAATTTGTAGTCAGAGTTCTGAATTTGGGTGGATGAAAATTGCAGAACCTGTAATGAAATTGTATACTGAAGCTACCGATGGTTCTTCAATTGAAACCAAGGAAAGTGCTTTAGTCTGGCAATACCGGGATGCGGACCCTGGCTTTGGATTCTCTCAGGCAAAGGAGATGTTAGATCATCTTGAGAGTGTTTTGGCAAATGAGCCTGTTGCTGTGAAGAGTGGTCAGTTCATCGTGGAAGTCAAGCCCCAGGCATGTATAATATATTTCAATTTAACACATCAGCTGTTTCATTATACTTGAGTGTTTGTTTTTTAAACATGGAGAGAAAATGAATGAAAAGGCTCAGCCTAATTTAATCAAAATTCTTTAGGATTTATATGCTACATTTCATGTTATTCAAAGTGAAAATAGATAGAAAATCAGCACTTATTATATATTTTAACAAATCATGGTGATGTTTTAAGACGACGCCCAAAAAAAAACAAAAGCAAATAATAATTGAAAAAAAGGGAAAGAAAGATTGGTGATGCTTTAAGAATTCCATTGAAATCTTTGGGAACTTTCTGATGGATTTTTTCTTATTCTCTGGTTTTCCTTAGTGCTATGTTTGTGGTTGCTAGCTATGAGTTGTTATTTTCAAATCATTCTCTCTCTTCTCCAATGCTTTTTGTATTCCTCTATAATGAATAAATGGTATCACCAATTTTAGTTGCCATCCAACATCCAACTGTCATTCTCCACCAGCAATGGGAGCTCTAAAATGCTTGCTTTTGTGTTTTATCAGGGAGTCAGCAAAGGCCTGGTTGCGGGAAAAATATTCACATCAATGGTTGAGGATGGGAAACAGGCAGATTTCGTGCTTTGCATTGGTGATGACAGATCTGATGAGGACATGTTTGAAATAATTGGTAATGCAGTGTCAAGCAATATTCTTTCTGCCTATACTTCAGTATTTGCATGCACGGTTGGACAGAAGCCAAGCAAAGCCAAATATTATTTGGATGATACTACTGAAGTGATAGCCATGCTTGAATCTCTTGCTGAAGCCACTGATTCTCCGGCCTCCTCTGAAGAAGAAGAAGAAGAAGAAGAGGCTGATGGCTCCCCATGATACCATCTGATGCTATGTTCTTATCTCTTGATTGACTTTGGTTCCCTTCTTCAGTAAGATGTACATTCCTGATTGGCTGATGATGGCTATTCCTTCTATAGGGTGTTAGATTTAAGCTCAAAGTCAATGGAGTAGCAGCAAACCCCCGGTGGTACTTAGGAGAAAAACAGTGAAAATTCTAGTCATGAACCCTTTGAACATATCTAGAAGAAGCAGCAGCCTGGAAGGAAGGGGAGAGTTCAACTTATATTTGATGTGCCATGGTGACACCCACTGGATTGCCTAATAGTAAGAATCATGTGGTAGCTTGGACAATTGGTGGGGATGACCGTAAATTTTTTTTGGCTTAAGCTTTCAAATCTTCTTTTTTTGGGGATGACCGGATATTTTGAACTTTTCCCTGAACATAGATGTAAATGCTGCAGGGAAAAAAATGTCAGAATTGATTGACATGTCCAATAGTTTGAAAGTTAACCTTGAAAGCGGAAGGACTTTGTTTGTTGTTTGTTTGCTTCTTTTTTTTTTTTTTCTTTTTTTTTTATTTATTTTTTAGATTGTGTTCAAAATGTAGATCTTAGCAATGCAGGTGTGGGTTCCTTTGGTATAAAAGAAGTAATAAAAGTGTTGGTATTAATTTACCATTACACTACTATATTAATATGATGAATATATATGATCCAGGTCAAGCTGTATAATGGTATGAAATGTCATTAACAGGAAACTTTAATGTATGAGAGCTCAACAAGATGTAATTAGTTCTTTCTATATTAATTTACTTGCTATGATGCTCTGAAATGTGTTCGGTGTTGATTTTGTTGTCCGCATGAACACAAGTATTAACATGTATTATGCTGAGTTTAGTCTTCCAAAATCAGAAATTTTGACATTTTACATCAACACCGGGATATGTCTTTACCTCCAACCTCTCCATGGGAGACCGCAAGGGTTCAAACTTCAAAGCTGATGGATTCGTGGGCTGGGTTTAAATGTTGGGCCCAACTATCAAGAGGACATGAAACGAACAAACAGCTTGCAAAGAAAGGGCCATGGAACTTATTGTTTTAAGTAAGGGACGATAACTAGCACAAAGTATCCAAAAGGTTCATTCAACTATTCTCTCTAAACCATGTTGGATGGATGGATACAACTCAAAGCCTAGTTTTAGATGGATTGACCACCCACCCTTCTCTGAACAGTAGCAACAGCAACTCATTTGGCCACAGAATTGGCCAATCTTCTCCGAGCTAATCACTACTGCCATGACCATGGACAGTCTGATACACTGGCTTTTTCTAACTACATATATGGTTGAAACTATTGGTTCGGAGCTCCATTTCATCAGCAAGCTTGAGATCTTTTGATGTGATTGCCAACATAGTTGATGAAAACTGCTAGTGCCAAGCTTGATCCCTTGCTCTCTCTCCTTAAAATGCCTCAAGATACTGATGAATTATGGGAACTGCAACTACAACTACTTTGGGTTCTGTTTGATAGAGTTTTGGAACGTCAATTCCAGGCTTTGATTTGTACACCGTGTTGGTTTACGATTTTCAAAAATTAATTCCACTCACTTTTGAAAACTCTGTCCAAGGCAGAAAAATTTGAGCTAACCGGTTGACCAGCCAGATGACCGGAACAGTGCTATAGATATATATATATATATTTTTTTTGTAATTGACACATGTTAATTTTTATATATTCAATAAAAAATATTTTTCGAATTTTTAAAAAAAATTTATGAGTTTTGAATAAAATTTTGAGTTATGTATTTGTTTTTTTTTTTTTTTTTTATCGGAAGAAATATTTCATTTAATAAAGCCAAAACTTACACCAAACAAAGAGAAAATAATGCAAGAAGCACTAAGGAAGAAAACTATGAAAATATTCAGACGTACATATCGTACTCGTGCTTGTACTGCAAAGCAGAGCCGATCATAAAAATTCGGCAATAGAGCATGTCCGAGATAAATCATAGATCCCAACCACAATGAGGGTAAGCTAAACAAATCCGCACAGATGGACTCTAAGAGAACCAAACAAACCCAGAAACAATACAAACCGAAGGCAAATCCGGCGTTGGCAAATCAAGCTATGGAGAAGACAGCGGTGAAGAGGCAGAGAAGGTGGCAGGGAAGGCACGGATCTAAGAAGGCCACTCTCGGAGTGAATGGGTAGGGGAAAAACACCTCACAAAGGAGGGAGAGGATGGAAAGCCAAAACTTCCAACTTATGGGAAAGCAAAGAAAGGAAAGGAAAGAGCAAAAGAGGGGTAAGGAGAGGGGAGAGGAGGCCGGAGGTCGCCGGAAACCCCTCTCCCACCACCAGCAGCCACCAACTCGGGAAACCCTAGGGGGAGAAAAGTTTAGAGAGAGAAGTTCTCAAACTAGAGAGAGAATGATGGGGGTCTTTTGTTATGTGTTTGGTTATGAGTTGTAAATTTTTGTATCAAATATCATATGTCACATTAAAATTTTTTTATTCAATTCAAAACTCGTTTCAAAACTCATTCACCAAACAAATTTTCCACACTCAAATCATAATTTCAAAACTCACAAACTCAAAATACAACTCTATTTTCAAATCATATTTAGAAAACCCTACCAAACACAACCTTGGTGTTTGAAATTACAAATGTTGGAAGACAAGTATCCACCACCATAATTGCTTTTTTGTTTTATTTTATTGTCTGACTGATTAGCCATTGAGTCTGATATGAATTTAATAGCACAATAATATATTAGTCAACAAGAATATATCTATTGATTGAATAACTTTTTGTTTAATTTAAAGTTCACATCTCAATTACTAAAATATTTTATGTTTGGAATGCAAATATGATAGCAAAAATTTCATGAATACTGTTTGAATAGAATTCAGTGCTGAACCTGAAGGTGGAGTGCATAAACTCCGCTTTATTTATTTTACCTTAATTGATGATGCTCTTCATCTAGGATTAGAAAGAACAGATGCTTGTGGTGCTGAAGAAACAAGGTGATCTGCTACAGAAGAAGATCCCATTGCATGGGTGAACTTGTAGTTGATGTTTGGATCCACCTCCATCACTCCTTCCAACACCTTCACTACTGTTGACATGAGAGGCCTTCTTGTGTGATCATTTTGCAAACACCAAGCTGCAATCCTTATCAGCCTAACCATTTCTTCTCTATGATCCCTCACCTCCTCATCATCATCCAAAGTTTCCACAATCTCAAGTAGTTGATCCTCCTCTGCCTTCTTCTGCAACAAACTCAACAAGTGTTTGCTAGATTCGGACCGGGACCGATCCAAATTTCTCCTGCCGCTAACTATTTCAAGGAGAACAATTCCAAAGCTATAGATGTCAACTTTTACTGTAATTCTTGATTGTCCGCACTCTGGAGCAATATATCCAGGAGTTCCTCTCAACGTAGTCAGGACTTGGCTTTCATCTCTGTCTATTAGCTTAGATAGCCCGAAGTCGGAGATTTTGGCATTGAAATTTTCATCCAAGAGAATATTTTGGGGTTTTATGTCAAGATGAATAATTCTTTGTCTACATTCTTCGTGTAAATAAGCTAATCCTTTGGCTATGTCATGAATAACCTTCTTTCGGGTTTCCCAATCAAGGCAAGGTTTCTGGTCTCTAGAGAAAATCCAGTTGTCCAAAGACCTATTAATCATGTATTCGTATACAAGAAGACAGGAGGACTTTTCTGCAGAAAATCCAATCAACCTCACTAGATTGAAATGGTGAATGCTGCCAATCGTTTCAACTTCTGCTAAGAATTCCCTCATTGCTTGTCCCATTTTATCCAATCTCTTCACCGCGACCTCAGTTCCATCTTGCAACACTCCTTTGAACACAGAGCCAAATCCACCACCACCAAGTTTCTCTTTAAAATTCCTCGTTGCCACACGTAATTCTTTCATTTGAAAACCTCAGCGGGCATTCCTGGAACTTGCCTTATATAATATTGGTCATCCTCTATGATAGTCTTGTTGCTAAGTTTCTTCCGGAATATAAAAATCGAGAGGAGAATTACGAGGAAGACAGCTGATCCAGAACTTACTATTGCTATGAGTCTTTTTCGGTTTCTTAGAGGTGGAGGAGCTGCAGGTCTACCCTCTGGCACAGGGTTTGGTGCCACCTTGGAAGGTTTCTCTACCTTAATATATGTGGCTGATTTGAAACTGTAGTTGGGAATTTCGTCTTGTCTAATTGATAGGACCTCAGATGGCATATAACAATAGCCATCTGAAAGATTGTTGTCGTACCTGAAAAAGGCTGCACCACATGAGCAATTTCGTAGACAGGCTTGTTTGCATTCCTCCATATTTTTGATGTTTTGAAATGCTGCAGTTGGATCAATGACATTGAAGTAAGTCCCATTTATTACTTCAATCAGCTGATCTTGTTGCTTGCAAGACAATGGAGTAATCCTGGAGCATCCACCACCACCACCACCACCAGATTGGAAATATTGAATCCCGTCATCTCCTTGCGGACAGCTACATTTTCCTGCCTTGCATAAGCCATAGTCCCCACAGTGTCGAGGATATTGACAGGCTCCGAGATCTTGGCTAACCATATCCACGATCTCACTCAACCGACGACTGCTATTGTCGTGCCTATATAACTTTAAACTGCCATCACTATTGAGTCTTACGTACTCGATAACTGAATCCAGGGGCTGTTGTTGTTGTTGGGCTTGAGATGATGTTGTTCCTAAGTTCACGAGGAATCCTCCTGTTTGGAGCTCTGCATAATTTGATCCATCCCTATTTCTTGAGCTGCTGTTGACTTGATTGTTTCTAAGAAGTCGACAATGGCCTGTGGCTGTGAGTGAAATTTGATCAATTGAGCTTTGGTTTGGCTCCATCTGATAATACATCTGTGGTTTTTGGCCCTCACCGTCCCGGATGAATGCAGTAAGGCCTAAGTCCATGGTCAACGTAGCATAGTACAAACCCTGACTCCAGTTGGTCGGAGAGGTACTTGAAATGAGCTTCTGACCCTCATAAAACCTTTGGCCAGACAACAATGCATCGGTGGGATGGTCAAAAGACTGCCAAACAATAACCCCTTTGTCATTAAACAGAACCAAGTTGCCCAGTGCAGTCATGTTCATTCCGGCTACAGACTTTCCTGATGTGTTGGTCGACCACACCTGGGATCCATCTGAATCTCGGAGTACTAAACCCTCCTGTGGAGTCAGTAGTAAGGTTGCGTTCTCATGCACAAGATGGTCTGTGTTTGCGGACCATACCACCGAAGGATTGCCTCCGCCAATGACAATAACTGAGAACAAGTAAGAGATGTTGTCAATGCTGTAGAATCCACAAACAAAACCAAGACTCAACTTTCTTGACAGAACAGCTCTCACTCTTGATCCATCATCACTAACATTCATGTTAATTGAATCGTTGTTGTGCCATACCGACGAGCCTGATTTTTTTAGTTCGAATATTGGGGGGGCTGCCGCTTCTGGATGCAAAAAAGTAATTAGGGAGAGGGAGAATAATGAAATTAAGATGAAG